AACATTAGAGCAAGAATTAACAAGAAGTAAATGTATTTCTCTTGTTCTCAATAGAAATAGTTTCTTATTTAAAAATACTCACCAATAGAGCCAAGAGAAATTTTATTTTCTTCTCTCCCTTGGAAAGAAATAGAAGGTAGCAGATGACAGCTGTTCATCTTCTATATCATATGTTGACAGTACTCCGAGGAAACACTATGTTTTTATTCTCTTGGTTAGCATAAGAAAATCTTGTACAGAGCACTGGATACCTCATCAGTGAGGGTATTTAGAATCCATTAGATTTACCAGTTTTCTGCGCTCCTCGTTTTTGTTGTTGTTGTTTTTCTTCAAGACAGGCTTTCTCAATGTAGATTTGGAGCCTGTTCTAGAACTCACTATGTAGACCAGGCTGTCCTCAAACTCACAGATATCCTCCTGCCTCAGCCTCCTGAGTGCTAGGATTAAAGGCATGTGTCGACGGTGCCTGACTCTGTGTCCCTTCTTAATAGAATTATTTTAACAAATAAATGGCAAGATGTAAGAGTAGGAAGAGTAAATTCAGAAAATATAGTACCGTGGAATCTTTGGTGTTTACCTGTTTGTCAGCTCAGATCCTCTCAGGCAGCAGGAGCAATAAACTTGAAATGTTTATACCCAGTTTTTTGCTTTGATTCCAGTTGCTTGATGTCAGGGCTTGGATAGATCTCTTCTCACTCGGGATAATAGTAACATGAGTGGATCATTAGTGAATGGATCTTTAGTGAATTTCCTGGGGCAAGATTGCATTTTTCTACCCCACTGACATTAGTCTTGGTTAAAACGATGAGAATGGCAGCTTTTATCATTAGTGGATGAGTTGTCAATTTTTGCCTCAATAAGCAGCTAATGATCCAGTTTGCGGCTATGCTATGAGTGTTAGCTATGAGATGGACATGCTGTTTGGATGAGGAACTTATTTTGTGTTTGCAAGCTATTGAGAATTAAGGATATTTGTAGTCACCTCCAGGAATATGTAGATACGATGTACTTTATGGGGAGGAAGTAAAATCAAACCACTATTTGATGACTATACTAAAAAATTTATATATGCTAGTTAAATAAATTATTATTTTAAGTGCTATTTATAATAATAGTTACAATGTAGCGTGTATGAAATCCGGACTTTTTTTAATATCTCTAAATTCAGCCAAAATTTAGCTCTCATTTCCTCTAAATTTAGCCTAAAATTGTGTTTGCTTTACGGTTTCCCAGTTATTCTTTTATTCTATGCCAATTTTAAGCTTTTTCAGGAGTTTTAAATTGTAACAGTTATACTACTTCAATAAATTTAGGAGAAGATAAGTGGTTTTTCTCCAATAAAAGAGTTAAGTTTTTAAAACATGTTATAGAACACAAGTACTGAAATTTCCTTTTTGATGGATATCTAAAGTATTTACAAGAACAGAGAGAGATGTATCCACCTAGCATAAATACCAATACCTGGACTATAGATAAAGCTCTCCAGGGCAAGGTATCTGTAGTTTCCCTGCTTGTAATGATAAGAATATAGTTATTATACTCTCAACTGAAGCCCAAACCCAAAGAGCTTAAAACATGATTGAAGCCAGGCCAAAGTTAGTGGAAACACTTGATTGTGTTTCCAGATAAACTTGGATTAGTTAAGTAATATTCCAGGGAGGCACTTTTAATCCTGCCCTGGGGTTTGCTCACCTTGCCCCAGGGACCAACCCATTAGTATGCTTCTTTTGGTCACAGAAAGAGCTTTGATTATTGTGCCAGAAAGCTATTAGGATGAACTGAATTCCTGATCAATTCCCACACTAGAGAGTGATGCTACAGCAATGTTCAAGAGCTTTCAAGTCATCAGGTCTGTTGATATTGTCTGCCTTTGGGTCCTGTCTTTGTGGTGGTGTTCTTCTCAATCAAGCTCGTAACAAGTAGTGGGAATGGTGGTCATGTGCTTTGCCAAACTTCATCAACCATGCAATCTGGGATTCCAGAGAAGACAAAATTTCTTTCATGCTCTGACTTTTATGGATTGTATGTTAGTTACTGTGACTTTTGAAAGGGCTTTCTTGTTGTCCAGGCTGTTACCAATTGCCCCACCTTTAGTAACACAAGGGGGGAGAGTCTCAGAGTAGAGAGAATAGATTTCTTAAAGGAATTATTTTGTCAACAGAAAGGAGAAAAATAATAATAAGTCACAAAGTCAAAATTGGGAAAAAGGCAAGATTCTTCTCATCCACATTCATTAGTCTCTTTTGAAGTCAGATATAATCTTGCCCTTAGAATTTCATTTTCTATTTTCTCTTCAGTTCATGATTTTGTCAAGAGCTTGATAAATCAAGTATTTTAAGAAAGGGGTTGCAGAAGTTGCCTTTGCTGATTGAGTCCAGTTTTAAGGCACAGTAGACAGTATTGCTTATCCTACTGAGAGAAATCACTTCTTCCACATCTTTGAAAATTGTAATGAGTCTTTCTCTGCTCCACCCAGCCAGCTCCCAAATAATAACAGAGTAGTATTATTAATTATGAAGCTTGGTCTTAGATTTGGCTTGTTTTTAACTAGCTATTACAACTTAAATGAACTCATTTTGTAATAATCTACATTCTGCCATGTACTACCCATCCTGCTTTTTCCATGTTTCCTGAAGTCTCTCCCAAACCTAGATTTATCTCCTACTCTACCTCCTCTCCCTGTACTCATAAGTTCTGCCTATACCTCATGCCTAGCTATTGATCATTCAGCTCTTTATTAAACCAAAGACAGTAATATATATATATTCACAAAATATACAAATATCCCACAGCACTTCCCCTTAAATAAAAAGGAAAGGTTTCAACTCTAACATAGTAAAAGTATAAAGAATTATCAGGTAAGAATTGCATTCATGATGTACAGTCTATCTGTATTTGAAGAATTCAGAGAAAATAATATTATATATCCTATCTTGGTGAGTCAAAAGTTATGTACATAATTTACTTTCTATCCTAACTTGTGTCACCAACTGCAAACTATTTTTTTAGACTTCAAAATGTTTTCTTAGATTAACAACCTAAGCTTTTACGTCTTTCAACCTTATATACTTTATACCTCATTTGTGAATTTCTTTTCTGAATTTGGTAACAATAAAAACTATAACTATCTAGTCTTTAACCACATCAAAGTTTTGAGGAGTCTTTACCTAATGAAAGAAGAAATGCAGAGCAAACAACTGATGTATGAAGTCCTTCTGTATATGTGTTGCTTTTGTTGGTTAATGAATAAAGAAACTGCCTTGACCTGTTGATAGGGCAGAGTAGAACTAGACAGGGAAAATTATACTGAATGCTGGGAGAAATGCAAAGTCAAGAGAAGCCACATAGCTCTGCCAAAGACAGATACTGGACAGAACCTTGCTGGTAAGCCACAGCCACTTGGTATACACAGATTAAAGGAGATAGGTTAATTTAAAATATAAGAGTTAGCCAGAACTACAGTTAAATTATTGCTCAAAATGTATTGCAAATAATATAGTTTCTGTGTGGTTATTTCATGGCTAGCATTTGGCAACAAACAAGTGGCCTCTTACTACAAACAACTTCCAAAACTAAGAAACAACAGAGACACTTGGCTGCCTGGACAGTCACCAAGTTTCCTCTGTAATGTTGGGACATTCATCTTTGAACAAAAGTGTAAAATATCTGACAGACTTTCTTGTGAAGTAGGCATTTTGAAGAACTGTCATTCTTGTCTTTGCAAAGTTCAGCAATCACTTCCTTTTGTGTCATGCTAGTTTATACTGGACAGCATACTATCAGCAGTTGAGGCTAGGGAAGTTTCTTGCCCAAATGGTTAGTGTTGCCACACTGAACACAAACTTTAAATGGAGATCCCTCGATGCCCATCATTTGTTTTTGAAGTAAATTGGTGATGCAGTTGCAGATTGTCTTCCTTTCATGGAAAGTCTTAGACTATTAAAATATCTTAAGTGCCATATTCTGTAGGTCTCTAAAGTGTTTGAAGACTATCTGCATATTTAAAATATATCCCTGCTTGACCTAGAAAACATACCTAACATGAACACAAACTTGATTGTTAGATGATTAACTACTAACATGCCTGTCTTTCTTTATCATCCTAAATAGCGTTAAGGGCTTGAACTTTACATTACATTGTTAAATGAGGTACAAAGGCACAATAACTTAAAAAGCAATAGAAATGTATATACAATATGAGGAAAATAACCTTAAATGTATCAATATACAAAAACACATAGCAATGTAAAATATTTGAGACTAGTAATTGTGTTTTATTTCAAAAGTAGAATCAATTCACCCTTTTATCTCAACATTTCTACACTATATCTCTTCTTTTTTCTTTCAGAAAGAGAGCTTGAAGATAATTTTTGTTGAACTTTTTTCCTGACTACAACTAATAACAATTTGTTACCAATTCCCTAAGCAAAGATAAATATGCATAATCCATTGAATGATATAAAGCCACCCACACTACCTCTTGGAAATGTGAGCATCCTGCTTCCTGCTGTCTGTGGGCAACAACATAGAAAACCCTGGGAGACCTAGCTGTCTTTTTATTTTTTTATTTAGTCCCTATATGGTAGGAAAATGTAGAGCTTAGCTGAAGTCTTGGATGGACTGTGAGTTTATACAATCTCAGATAAAGTTGGAAGTTGTTCTGGATACAGAATTTTGAGGAAATTGCAACCGAGACATTCTGAGAAGTTGGATCACCTGGTCTACTTACAGTGATTGGTCTGGTCCTTTTTTTCTGAAAACACATAAACTTTTAAAGGTAACATATATATCTGCATTAACACACATATTGGAATGTGTGATGTGTATAAGTCAGTGAAAGTTGGAGATAGAGATTTTGTTTGTTTGTTTTATGTTTGAGCAGGTAAAACTTACCTGCCAACTTTTTTTTTTTCTTGCAGCTCAGGAATTTATTAATGAAGGGGATTGGGCCATTGGGTGTTTATATGGTTGGCCCCTGCAGTTGCATCCTGGTTGTTAGTGAGGATGAGGGCTGCTTGTAATTGTTGGTGACAGATGATGTTATTCTGGGAGTATGATGAGTCCTCTCTTCAGATTCCTCATGCCAGGACTAGGGACCAGCATTATCAGACAGGTTTTTCTTCATTTTTTTCCGCATTTGGTGGAGAGATGATATTTTTTAGGATCTCAGCATAGTATGGACTAAATACATGCTGGTTGTAATGCATCAGATTGACAAACTTCCACCCTAGTTCTGCCAACTCTGGCTCAATGAAAAGAAGTCCTCCAGGGAAGTCTAGAAGAGATTCCCTCATTCCATGAATCAAACAGCATTTAAGAAACAAATGTATCCGTTGTTTAATGATGGTACGAATGCAGTTCTCCTTCTTGGCAATGTTCCGGAGTTGACCTACAAGTGATGCCCTGTTTTCACTGCTCAGAACAGCGAGGCCGGTGTCCTTGAGCCCCTGATGGATTTCCTGAGATATCTGATCACTGACACTGAGCATAGACTCTTCTGGCTTGGAGCTAAATTCTTTTGTTAGATCCTTGGTTATGCTCTTCAGTTTTTCCACAAAATCCGGTGAACTGAATAAAACACCACAACAGAAACTTCTTGCAACAAGTAAAACGGAAGCAAGAATCGTCAAGTGGTGTAATTTGGACCTCATGGCCTGCAGTCGTGCCTTATCCATCAGCATAGTCTCAGGGAACTCTTCATTCCCATGGTCCCTAAGAACGAGGTTTAGATAGCCTTGGTATAATACTGTCGTAAGACTAGGCGGCTCTGGGTCAGTGGCTCTCATTTGATCAGTCCCCTTGTATCAGAGGGTGAACGCCCCCCACGTGGTCCTGACATCCTTTTTCATGTTCTCTCTCCTTCTGCTCCTCATTTGAACCTTGGGCGCTCAGTCCAGTAGTCCAATGTGGGTTTTTGTCTCTATCTCCATCTATCATCAGATGAGGGTTCCCTCTAGTACTGCCTTTCTTGCTCACGCTCTCCCTCCATCTGCTTCTTATTTGGACATAGGGAGTTAAGTCCAGTGTTCCAATGTGTGTCTCTGACTTTATCTCCATCCATCGCCAGATGAAGGTTCTATGGTGATATACAAAATATTCATCAGTATGGTTATGGGCAAAGGCCAGTTCAGGCACCCTCTTCTCTGCTGCCCAGGGAACAATCTGGGAACCTCTCCTTGGGCCTGGGAACCCCTCCAGAACCAAGACTCTTGCAAACCCTAAAATGGCTCCCTTAATTAAGATATTTCCTTATGAGTGAGTACATACCATATTCCTCTTTTTGGGTCTGGGTTACCTCACTCAGTAAAGCGTTTTCTATGTCCATCCATTTGCATGCAAAATTCAAGATGTCGTTGTTTTTTACCGCTGAGTAAAACTCTAATGTGTATATGTTCCACACTTTTTTTATCCATTCTTCTATTGAGGGGCACCTAGGTTGTTTCCATGTTCTGGCTATTACAAATAGTGCTGCTATGAACATAGTTGAACAAATGCTTTTGTAGTATGATAGGGCATCTCTTGGGTATATTCCCAAGATTGGAATTGCTGGGTCCTGAGGGAGGTTGACTCCCAGTTTCCTGAGAAACCGCCACACTGATTTCCACAGTGGCTGCACAAGTTTGCATTCCCACCAACAATGGATGAGTGTTCCCCTCATTCCACATCCTCTCCAGCATAGGCTATCATTGGTTTTTTTTGAGTTTGGCTATTCTGACAGGTGTAAGATGGTATCTCAAAGTTATTTTGATTTGCATTTCCCTGATCGCTAAGGATGTTGAGCATGACCTTAAGTGCCTTTTGGCCATTCTAGGTACATCTGTTGTGAATTCTCTGTTCAGTTCAGTACCCCATTTTTTAATTGGGTTAATTAGAGTTTTAGTGTCTAGTTTCTTTAGTTTTTTGTATATTTTGGAGATCAGACCTTTGTCTGATGAGGGCTTGATGAAGATCTTCTCCCAGTCGGAAGGTATCCTTTTTGTCTTACTGACAGTGTCCTTTGCTTTACAGAAACTTCTCAGTTTCAGTAGGTCCCATTTATTCATTGTTTCTCTTATTGTCTGTGCTACTGGGGTTCTGTTTAGGAAGTGGTCTCCTGTGCCTATATCTTGTAGACTACTTCCCACTTTCTCTTCTATCAGGTTCAAAGTGGTCGAATTAATGTTGATGTCTTTAATCCATTTGGACCTGAGTTTTGTGCATGGTGATAGATATGGATCTACTTTCATTCTTCTACAGGTTGAAATCCAGTTATGCCAGCAGCATTTGTTAAAGATGCTTTCCTTCTTCCATTGTATACCTTTAGCTCCCTTGTCGAAAATCAGGTGTTCATAAGTTTGTGGGTTAATACCCAGGTCTTCTATTCGATTCCATAGGTCAACTTCTCTTTTGTTGTCCCGCGCTACCGTCTCGCCTGCAAGAACCACGCGGGACACATAGGACACTTCTGCAGAAAAGCTTTAATGCCCCTTGGGAGAGCGAGCATCAGCCAACATGGCGGAGACCCAGATATGATGGAACCCATCCCTTATATAGGAAACAGACCCTGCTTCGGACGTGTCACTCTTGAACTGGTCCGCTGCTCCCAGTCCCAGGTGATGCCTCGGGAGTAGGCGGGGACACAGAAGTGGAAAGATACCAACACGTGTGCGTTCACCTGGTGGTGAAGCCGGATGTCGGCGCCATCTTGATGATGGAGAATGTGGCTGCGGCCTTCTACATTTTGTTATGCCAATACCAAGCTGTTTTCAATACTGTTGCTCTGTAATAGAGTTTGAAGTCAGGGATGGTATGTTTTTAATATACTGTACCTTTTTAGAGATTTTCTATGTCTGGACACAATTTTATTAAACACCTGCAGCATTCTCTGACCACATGAACAAACATTACACTGCCATTTTAGCCACCAGTGACTCATATTAATGCATGGTGCATGATACTGGCTTCCAGCCCACTGTCAGATACCTGTAGCCATGCCTCTGTAGGCCAAACACCTGCCTGCCTGAAAGATTGCAGGACTAAGAAGCCACATCTGGCTCCAGATTTATGTATTTGAAAGCCTTTTTCAAGGCTTTCTAAGGTCCTATGCAGAAATAGGCGTCCCCATGTTTGATGTCAAATGTGATGTGTCTTTTTGTGTCCCACCAGTAAGCTCTCAAATAATTACCTGGCCATTCATTATTAGTTATGAAAGGCTAGCCATATTTTAGGCTTAATTTTAACTAGCTCTTATAACTTCAGTTAACCCATTTCTATTAACCTATGTTTTATCACATACTGCCCATCCTGCATTTTTTTGTGTCTCCTGGAGTCTCACAAATGGAAATTTATCCCCTACTTCCTCTCTCTCTGTGCAGAAGTCCTGCCTATACCTCCTTCCGAGCTATTGGCCAGTCTGTTCTTGTTAGACCAATCACAACAATGTATCTTCACATGGCACAAATATTCCACAACAGGTAACACTGAGTAGAAAGCATGGAAGTATTCGTTTATGATCAGAAGCTAATTTGTATCTTTCTATTCTCTGTGTTTTAATCTTAGTTTTATGTGTTTAAGTGTGTATGGTACTGTATGTGCACAACAGGCATGTGTAGTGCCCATGTGGAAATCTCAAGGCAAGTTTCTTGAGACAATAGGTTAAAAAGAGTCTTAGGGAGACACTGTCTGGTCAAGAATTCTTTTAGGGCATCCTTCAGGAAGTTTCTTTTTACAAACAGTTAGTACCAGGGTAGGATATTTAGACAATAATAGTTGTGCAAACAAACATAAAGGAATAATAGTCACATTAATGAAGACAGTAAACTCTGTCAGAAGAGGTACCTTTTATCATTACTGTCTGAGCCGTATGTGTATGCGTAGATGGTTTTACTTTTGAAATTCTTTTTGACCTAGAAAATTACAACCTTGATAATGCAATAAATATATTTTAAATTCACTTAAGTAACAAACACTCACTCAAGGTAATAGAAAGATAATATGATTTATCTGGCAGATGTTAAGATATAATTAGAATAAAGATAGCAATATCTAAAGAAACATTTAAATATAAAATATAATTTCAAAACCTGATTAAATATATTCAGCTATCTCTTGAAATACACACTATTTTAATACTTAGAATAGTATTAAGGTTTCTATGTCTTTTGTAATAAAGAAGAAATATTTTGAACTTTTTGTATTTCTTCTTGTTTTAAAGTGGCCGCTTTGCTGTTACATTTTTCCATTTGAAACAGCTTGTCTACCCCAGAGCTCTAGACCTAGCTGTTACTGAAGCAAAGCAAAGCAAAGCAAAGCAAAGCAAAGCAAAGCAAAGCAAAGCAAAGCAAAGCAAA